GGGATGCCATAAGTCTTGAAACATAAAATGTTGTCACGCCTTGGTAACTGCTTCAAAAACTCTGAAACTTTGAGGGTTTGAAGAACACATGTTGAAAAACCTCCCCACAAAATTCCAGAAGCTGAGCAGGCGTTCAGGCCGAATGGGAGTGCGATGACCGTGCCACTGTAATGTGTTGGCACAACAAACTCCCCCTCATCGTGCTCTCATTCATCCCTTAGCTGCTCCCTGAAGCTGCCTCCCTTAGTTGAAGAACATGCCACACAAGTTGGCGCAGGTCCAATGCTGATGCTCTGCAAGCCGCTTCGTCAAAAAATCTGCAGGTTGCTTGGTAGTGTTGATGTAGTGCAAGGAGACCGTGCCCTTCTTCACCTCCTTCCTCACCCAATGCCATTTGATATGCATGTGCTTGTTCAGCCCATGGAGCACAGCATTGCGAGCCATTGCAATTGCTCCTTGGCTGTCACAAAACACAGATGTAGGAACCTCTTGCTCCTGCCCCAACTCCTCAAGCAACCTCCTCATCCAAATCACCTCCTTCACCCTATGAAACAACGCCATGTACTCGCTCTTCGTTGATGAGTGAGCTATCTCCCCTTGCTTCTTAGACTTCCAGCTCACTGGACTCCCTCCAACACAGCAGCTGCTGCTAGCAACACCCGGAGTGTAGGAGCCTTAGCAACAGGAGCAAACACCTCCTTGAAGTCAACCCCCTCCCTCTGCTGGAAGCCCTTGATCACAAGTCTTGTTTTGCGCCTCTCCAACTTCCCCTCCGCATCGGTCTTCACACGTAATATCCGTGTGCAATCCAATGTCTTTCTTCCAGGGGGCAGATCAGTGAGGGTCCATGTTCCATTCTCCATGAGGCTCTGAAACTCATCCTCCCTTGAAGCCAACCAAGCCTCTCGATCATCTCCAGCAAGTGCTTCCTCCATTGAAGCCGGTTCATGAGGTAAGTTGACACCGAAGCAACAAATCTGCTCCATCTCTCCCTCGGCTCCCTTCTCCTCATCATCTTCCTCCCCCTGGACCAGCAATGCCTTAGGACCCCCAAGCCTTTCATACTTGAGGAAATCCCTTGGGTGAGCAGCTCTCTTGGGCCTCTCCTTGGCTGCACCCTCCTTAACTCCACCACGGACAGCACCACGCTTCCCTTGGGTTGTCCGCCTTGATGGAAGTGAAGGGGATGATGATGGCTGCTGCACCTCCTCCCCGGCATCACATCTCTCAGCTACAGGGGCCTCCTCTTGCTGCAACACTCCTTCCACCTCTGTTGCCTCCCCTTCAGCACCTCCCAAGTCATGTGACACCTCCGTTACCTCTGAAGATGAAGACAACTCGATGGGAATGAGGAGTGGATCGTTCGTTCCCACCTCAATTCCGAGCGGAATGGTGACCTTGCTCCTCCCTCGCTCCAACCACTCCTTGAACATGAGCCCCTCCATAAACTTGGCATCTCTGGTGGTGAAGATGGTGTTGGCTTTTGGGTCCCACATGAGCCACCCTTTGCTCCCTTGTGCAAGTCCCAAATGAACAGCCCACACCGCCGCCGCTTGAAGCTTGTCACGCTTCTCCTTAGGGACGTGCACGAGTCCCATGCACCTGAAGACTCGAAGCATATCCACCAGGGGCTTCTTGCCTCTCCACTTCTCCATAGGGACCCAATGCTGCCCTCCCACATGAGTCAATACTCGGTTCTTGATGACGGTGGCATGGCGAATAGCGAGGGGCCAGACTCGTAAGGGTAGACCCGAGTCTACCAGCATCGTTCTCCCACCCTCCATGATGGTCCGGTTCGCTCTCTCTGCCACGCCATTGGATTGAGGAGTGTAGGCCGTGGTGAGCTGCTGTTTGATGCCGTGCCGCTTCAGCCAGCTCCGGAACTCCGCTCCCAAGAACTCCCCACCACGGTCGCTACGAATCGCCTTCACCCGCTTGCCGCTCTCTCGCTCCACCAAGGGCAGCCACTCTTCAATGATGATCCTTGCAGCATCACTTTTCTTTGCAAGTGGAAAGGACCAGGTGAGCCTTGTGTTATCATCCACCATGGTCATGGAATACAGGGCCCCACCATCTACCTTCACCTTCATGGGTCCCACGAGATCCACATGCACGAGCTCCACTGGGTCACTCGACTTCCCCTCCACCGAATGGAAGGGAAACCGTGAAAACTTGCTGGTCAAGCAAGTCTCACAAGATCCCACCTCCTTGGGCTCCCCCTTTATCATCAGCCCCTTGACTCTTTCTTCCTTGAACAGCTGCTGCAACTGAGGTAGCGCCACATGGCCAAAGCGACGGTGTGCGGTGAGCCAATCCGTCTCACCCGTGCTAGGAGTTACACTTGGTAACTCAGCCCTTCCATGCCCAAGGAGCCCACCATCACTATCATCACCACCTCCTCCATTGTCCACGTGGTTAACACGCCCTCCTCTCACACCTCCAGCAGCCAAGCGCGCAGCCGCCTCCTTCCATGGCAGCACCGGTATCTCCCACATGGACCGGTGCATGTCCTTGCCGCCTCGGAGGTCCCACAACACGCGCCCATCCAGAGTTGCCTTGAAAACCTTTGTGCCCAACATCTCCATCTTCATCCCTGCCTCACTTAGGGCCTTGGTAGAGAGGAGGTTGGCACACAATCCAGGAACAAGGAGAACACGCTTCAGCCCCACAAGCCTCCCATCCGCACCCATGAACATGGCTCTCCCCTCGCCACGCACGGGTACAACTTGGCCGGTGGCTGAAACGACAGTGGCTGCCTTTGATGGCCTAACTTCATCCAGTAGATCCTCTCGGTTGGTCATGGTCATGAAGGCTCCCGTGTCGATGACCCAATGGGAGGAGCGGTGAAGAGCAACCTTGCTGGCCGGCACAACCATGTCCTCGGAGCACGCCTCTCCTACATGGTAGAACATGCCGCCGTATCCGCCAGCACCTCCATCGCCCTCCTCACTGCCCACGCCTTCTCCCATAGCTCCATGAACACCCTTGGAGCCCTCAATTGATGGCTGACCAGGCCTCCAGCCGTCAGGTAGCTTGCGGCACTTGAACCATGGGTGCCCTTCCACATGGCAATACCAACACTTGCCGCCACACCGCTTGCCTCCCTTGTTGCCACGCTTCCCTCCCAAATGCTGCTCCCCTCCAGAGCCTTCCTTTGCCTTGCCTTTCTTGCTGCCACGCCCCTTGAAGCCCTTCATGCCGTAGGCTGAACCTCCACCTTCACCGGCAGCGGCGGTCAGCTCCTTCCTCCGAAACTCCTCTTGAAGAACTTGCGCGCGAATCCACTCAAGGGACCACGAGTCCTTCATGCCATTAAGGTTGACCACCAAGGGCCCCCACGACTCCGGCAGCAGGGAGAGAGCCTTGTAGCACTTGATTTTTTCAGGGTAGTCCACACCAGCAGCAGAGAGCTTCACATAGAGGTCCCTGAGTTGATCGAACGCTCCTTGTACGGCATCACCCTCGTTGATCTTCACCGCATGGAGTTGTCGCTCGAGCACCACCACCATAGCTTCGCTGCTGGGGGCATGGACATCCTTCAATATCTTCCATGCATTAGGACCACACTCAACTTCCTTGATGAGATGCTTGATGTGGTGCAGCTGGTTGGATGAGAGGCATTGGGAGAGAAGGAAGAATCCATCCTTGGACCGGCGATCCCATTCTTTGGTCGCTCCTTCGCTCGCAGGCCTCTTCAATTCTCCATCCATCACTTCAAGCAGCCCATAATGGTTGAAGAGGAGCTCCATCCTGAAGCTCCATGATGCCCAATCCTCCCCAGAGAACTTCTCCAGGTTGAATGCCTTCACATCATCCTTAGCTGATGTTGAAACGGAAGCCATTGGTGCAGATCCGCCTGCAACGCCTCTTCCCGCTTCCCCAGCGCCTTTCACGCCACCACTGCCCCTGGGACCAGCTGGAGCAGAACCTTCAGCCTCCATATTCACCCAAGAACAGAGTAGAACAGCTCTGATACCACTTGTTATAGTCAAGAGTCCACTTAGAGGTCGCGGATGCCCATGAAACCCCCTAAGCAGAATCTGACGTCTTCAAACCGCCTCTGTTCAAAACGCTGTCACGATCACCTCCAAAACCATACGAGGCTGAAACTTGGACAGCGGTTAGCCTTAGGTGTCTGCTTTCCAACGATATATAACTTGATATTATCAGAGGTGTGTGCACTACGCAGTGAATGAAAACGTAAGCTCGGCTGAAAAAAAACGTGTAGTCTCATTGATGCAAGGAAGAGATGGGTACAACATTGCCTAGGGGACTCATAAGGGGTTGGGTCATCCTGGGAACTCAGAGAATGCTGAGTCCTAGGGGAGAAAGGCTAGAGAAGGATGGGAAACGTCCTAGCTAGGTCAGCAAAGCCAACCACACATGGATGTTCAGAGCTGTACTCAAGGCAACCAATTGTGAGTTAAGCCAACCATGAGTCAGCTTGTCTTCCCACTTGCACTCTCTTGCAAGCTGGTTCCAGGAAGACCACACTTCTCAAAAGGAGGGCTGTAGAGTCCCACTTGACCACCTGTACTTCTTGTCTCATTCTCTGTCCCTGCACCATTGGCATGACAACAATGAAAGGGTGGCAAGGGAAATGCTGCCAACAGTGCACCATGACTACAGAACAGTGCATTTCGGCAGCTGTCACGCAATGCTCACATGTTGGTTCGTTCTGAAACTTGATGACCACCTGCACAGCGGGGAATAGAACTGCCAGACCGAATTTCCGGCCAATCAGAGCTTGGTAGACGAGTCAGCAGCCGAAATGGTGAACTCGGGTGTTACCAAAAAGGAGTAACACACACTTCCGGGATGCCATAAGTCTTGAAACATAAAATGTTGTCACGCCTTGGTAACTGCTTCAAAAACTCTGAAACTTTTAGGGGTTGAAGAACACATGTTGAAAAACCTCCCCACAAAATTCCAGAATCTGAGCAGGCTTGTAGGCCGAATGGGAGTGCGATGACCGTGCCACTGTAATGTGTTGGCACAACAAGGAGAACGGGAGGCGAGAGGAGAACGGGAGGTGAGAGGAGAACGGGAGGTGAGAGGAGAACGGGAGGTGAGAGGAGAACGGGAGGCAAGAGGAGAACGGGAGGTGAGAGGAGAACGGGAGGTGAGAGGAGAACGGGAGATGAGAGGAGAACGGGAGGTGAGAGGAGAACGGGAGGTGAGAGGAGAACGGGAGGTTAGAGGAGAACGGGAGGTGAGAGGAGGACGGGAGGTGAGAGGAGAACGGGAGGTGAGAGGAGAACGGGAGGTGAGAGGAGAACGGGAGGTGAGAGGAGAACGGGAGGTGAGAGAAAGGGCATGCTGCAGATGGAGGTGCAGGCTGGCAGGCACCCCTTGTGGCACTGCATGATACATCATCAACCGCAACAGCAGGAGGGAATGAGCAGGGACAGGTGGACAGCACACAGCTCATGGCAACACCTGCAGATCTCAAGCCATAAAGAGCTCAAATTTGAGGCAACGCTAAAAAAGGAATGGCAGGTACTCACAAGGTAGTGAGGCCTGCGAGTTTGCTAATGGACTCAGGAATGCTGCCGGTCAAGTTGTTGGAAGCAAGTCGCCTGCCAAGATAGCCAAGGGCAAGGGAAATCGAATTAGTCAAGAAGAGCAAGTGGGCCGGCCGGCAGCTTGACCCGTTTCGTCAAATCGTCTCACGGACGAGACATACCATCCGTCTCCAACATTCACCTCGTCCCCTCCTCGCTCATGTTGAGTCAGCTTGACAAGCCGCAAGAGCCAGACAATGAGCGGCCCGGAATCCGTCGACATGCCAAACCGGCCCGACCACGCCAAACTGCCATGTGAAGGGGCAAGCCTGCTCAGCTCGTCACACGTCGCCCCGGCGAACCAGGCACGGCTGTTTCTCAAAGGCCCAGCTGCGTTCATTCTGAGAAGAGCACATTCCAAGAGCACGCGGCTCGTGGCAGCACCTGCAGACCTCAAGGCATGAAGAGCTTCACACTGAGACAAAGTCCATGAAAGCATGGCAGGTACTCACAATACACGGAGATTTGCGAGGCTGGTAAGGGCCTCGGAAATGGTGCCAGTAAACATGTTGGCCCCCGCATCGCTGAAAGGACAACAACGGGCATGCATGCATGTGTTTTGGAATTGGGATTAGTCCAGAGCAGTGGCCCAGCTGGAAGCTTGGCTCTTGGCATCAGCTTGTTCGATAACTGCCGTTCAGCTCGCCGCGCAGACCGGAGAATATCGTCCGCCGATCTGCGCAAAACAGCCATCCTAGCAGACGATTCGTGCAGCTGACGGGTTACGTCGGGTCGGTCGACCCGTCCCGCGACGGGTCCCTATTTCAAGACTCGGGTCGACCCGACGTAAGCCAAGCGTGTTGACCCGGCCCAAGCTGAATGTGTCGACCCGTTACACCCAGGTCGGCTTGTTTGGGCTTGTGACTCGACCACCTGGCCAAACAGCCAGGAAGGGGCGAACCCGCTCAGGTGATCACGAGGCGCACACGCTCACATCCAGCCAGATGTCCAGCTCCGTTCATTTTGAGCAAGCCCGATTCAAGGAGGGGAGAGCTTATCCGAATGCAACTCAGGCCTGTGCACGGGAGGAGGTGCGAGCTGGCAGGAACCTCTTTTGGTATTGCATGATAGAGCAACAGCAGGCGAGAACGAATGGTGGACAGTTGGAGAACACATGCTAAAGGCACAGAGTTCACGGCAACACCACTCCTCATTGCGTGAGGAGTTTTGATCTGAGACAATGCCCATGACAGCGTGGCACGTACTCACAAGGTAGTGAGGAGTGCGAGGTTGGTAATGGCCTCAAGAACTGTGCCAGTTAACCTGTTCTTCACCAGGTCGCTGAACAGACAGCAAGCAGGCATCCATGCATGTGTGGAGAATACGGATTAGGTAAGAGCGGGTGCCTCATCTAACATTTTGAAAGCACACAGAACAGATCATGGCACCTGCAAGAACCTCAATCTAAATCAAACCCCCAAAATAGAATGGCACTCACAAGTGATTAAGCTTTGCAAGCTTGGTGATGGACTCGGGAAATCCAGTGAGCTGGTTGGAAAACACGTCTCTGACAAGACAATCAAGGGCATACATGCGTGGTAAGTCGAGAGCACATAGCGTGACCCAGCCTGCAGCTCCGCTCGTTGGCTCCGATCTTCAAGGGCAGCCCACTATCAGAGCAGCGCAATCACCCACGGTCGCTAACGTGGCAGCATACTCATGTTAAACGCAAAAATATATTCTCATTCATGGTGATTTAGTTAATCTCGACATTAGTTACGCGGGGAAGTGCTGGCTGGAAGGCGCCTATTATTGTCATGAATAGGGGACGGCTGGGGAGCACATTGTAAGAGCATACATCTCACGGCACACATTGTAAGAAAGAGATATAATCTGAGATCAGGCAGAAAAAAAAGATGGCACTCACAAGTGACGAAGATTTGCGAGGCTGCTGAACGACTAAGGAATGCTGCCAGTCAGGTTGGTAAACGCCATGATTCTAAAAAGATAGCAGCAAACGAAAGGCAGGCATGCAAGCATGTGTCAAAACTCCAGATTAGTAAACAGCTGTTGATTCAGCAGGAAGCTCGGACTACATTGGCAGATACGCTTTGGGAAGTCTGGCGTATATACGCGTAGGGTTGAGCAAAAAAACGGGCCCCGGGCCAGGCCTCGAAATTTGGCTGTCGGCCCGGGGCGGGCCGAGGGCGGCCCGCTTTTGGCCCGCTTCGTATCAGGGCAGGCCGCGCCGGGCCGGCCCGGATCGGGCCCTAGACTTGTTTGCCACTCTAAAACAGGCCCAAAACCATTTATATAGCTTGAGAGTACGCCGGCTTATGCCCGCCATGCATGCTTGCTTTTATTTCCTTACGCTATTCCTAGCTTAGGTTTATTTTCTGCATGCATGAATTGCTTGAATTCCTAGGTTCGTTGCTTTACTATAATTATTATAGTTACAGGCACCGAACCAGGTTACGTGTACCGGACTGAAGCTATATATAGCCTCGTGTTGTACCCAGTCGGATCATTCAATTCAAATCATCTTTTCTTAGCTCGATCCTAGATCCTCACACTTGGTAATCAGAGCCCGTTTACACGCGAAGTTCTTTCGACCGCTAAAAACCTGTCTTAAAAAAACCGCGGGGGCGACGCAGTTAAACATCGATTTCGGGTACGTAAAACCGGTTCCGTGTTTTTCGCTTCCCCTCAATTCGGTTTTTTCGGACGCGTTGATGTCAGGCATGGAGGGCCAAGGCGACAACTACGCGACTACGAGCGACATCGCGAGCCTCCGCATCGACATGGAGCAGACGCAGGCGACGCTTCGTCGACTCGAGGCTTTTCTGACAAGCCAACCAGGGTTCGCCACCGCAGCAGCAGCGACCGCAGCGACTGCAGCACCGACAACTCCAGCAGCAATGGCGACACCGACATTTCACGGACCGATGGCACCACTGTCGCCGAACCTCGAAGCAGCACGACCGAGGCTCCCATAAGCGTTCGATCCAAGCGCGAAGGGGTCCGACGTCCGGCGATTCGTGGCCACCCTCAAAATTTACTTCAAGGCCATTGGCTGTTTGACCCCGGAACACGACGCAGCAAGGATTCGGCTCGTAACGACAGTGTTACCTAGACCAGCTCTCGAATGGATTTACTACACTGATGTAGCCCGCGGGGAGAAAACGTGGCAGCAGTTTCGGGCAGATTTAATCGAGCGTTTCGAACCAATTAATACGACCTACATGGCGCGGCAGCCGATACACCGACACAAGCAATACAGTAGTGTAGCACAGTACATGTAGCAGATGGAGTTACTGTTCAACCGCATCACCGACCTGACCGAAGGCGAAAAAATCCAGGCGTACACCGAAGGGTTAAAAATGGAGATTCAGCGGCATGTGATTGCGGCGAATTACAACAGCTACAGGGACATCGTGCGTGCTACCGAGTGATACGACGCACTGACTCGAGGTCAACCCGAAACACGACGCTTCACGCCGAACCGTACATTCGGCACGGAGCGATCGGCACCCCCCACGTTCGCCGAACCGATGGATATCGACAAATACGACGCGAAGTAGCAGCCGACAAAATGCGAATTTTGTGGCGCAGCAGGACATCAGTTTTTTGTCAAAATAATATATAATTCTATATATTGCTTTGTAACTGCCTGTAGTGTAGATTACTGTAGTGATGTAACTTTCTGTATGGTGGTGCACCTTTCTTCATTCTTGCCTATTTGTACTGCTCGCTCTATAGTGAACATCCTCTCTTTTGCTGCCATCTTCTCTACTCACCCAAAACTCACTCGAACTCAACCGTTCCTACTCGAACTCTACTAGCTATGGCTCCTAAGCCTTCCTAAATTCTCAACATTTTTGTCGTGCTACAAAATAAAGAAAGCACGAGCGGCACTCTGGGACAGAAACAGTGGAGCATCCCCGAAGTAAAAAAACGGGAATCGCCAGTAGCCGCGGATCAACCTGGCGATCGCGTAAAGATCCGAAAAGCAGGAAAAGGCGACGACGTGGCGACTTCGGAGCGGGTGAAAAAAGGAGAAAATGAAGGCGCAAATCTAAAATGTCACGACCGGCCGGCATCAGGGGAAATCGCCGAGGCGAATGGAGGCTCCGCGAAAAAAGACTCTGCACCGGCCGGGAAACTCCAGCCGAACACCCACGAAAGTAAGAATTCGTTAAAAGTATCCTATAAAGATACTCTAACGAAGAATATTGCTTCTCGTGGTTTTCAAGCCTTTGAAAAATTCTGGGGAGGTTTAGAGGCCAAGAAAAAGCCTCTAGAAATTATTCAGGTACCTGAGAAGTTGGGCAAAGTACTACAGAGCGTAGAAAAGGGTGGTGCGTTCCGTGGAGTTAATATTCTCTCCTCGCACTACAGTATTAAGGCTCCCCGTTGCCCACAGGTGAAGCCTACATAGCTGCCAAGGCTTAGAGGAGACATCCACGTGTGAAACTATGAGCAGAGGAATGAATTGACTAAGTCAGAGTTGGGTACAAATACAACCCTAGCAAACTGTACCCCATATGTGCTACCCCACTATAGCCTACAAACATGCATCAGCTATAATAATCTGACACACCCCCATAGGCAAAGTGGGGGAGAACAAGGGGTCACAAGACCAGTCAAGCAAAGCAAAACAAGCTCAGGGTGGATCACAAAGTCACCACACAGTCCGAGCACAAGAGCAAGGCCAGAGGCCAGTTCACATGCAGGAGTAACAACATATATATAAAACTAGACAAGCAAGAGCAGGTATATATATGTCAAAGTACAAGTAAAGTCAAGAAGAGAGCAAGTGAGGCAAGACAGGTACAAGACCCAGCTGGGTACAAAAGCGCTGATGGTCGCAAGGCGCAAGTGCCTTGGTGAACACATCAGCAGTGTTGGCCTCAGAGGCCACGTAAGCAAGTCGCAACTGACCACGCTGCTGCAGCTCACGAGCAAGGAAGTAGCGGAGAGCAATGTGCTTCGTTCTGTGCTCCAAGCGCTGCTCTCGACACAAGGCCAACATGGCCTTGTTGTCTACGTACAGCACTGGAGGAGAACGAGGCAGCTCTCCAAGGTCAGTCAGCAGGTAGGTGAGCCAGCGAAGCTCCTGTGCAGCCATGGCCCCGGCGTAGATCTCAGCCTCACAACTGGAGCCGAGAACCGAAGACGAGCGAGTAGACCGCCACGAGACAGAGCCGGAACCAAGGCTGAAGGTGTAACCCTGTGACGACCGCTGCGTAGCCTGGTCGTCAGCCCAAGAAGCGTCTGCGTGCCCAGTAAGGACCACTGGACTCCGCCCTCCAAGC